GTGTGTGGGAGGGGTCTACCCAAAGGGCAGAACCTAATTTCACGAGATTGGTAATGTTGTCATATTTATTTCATTTAACACACACATCATGTAGTTTTGTATTTACAGCTTTTGGTTTTTAATTTAAAATAAACAAGATCRATACTCAATATGTTGAAGTTTGTCCTCTCCTAAATTTAGATTTGTAAAAAAACTCATACATAAAATTTTCCTGAGATTTCTATTTTGATGATGAGGATATTGGCTTTAAATGGTTGTCTGTATCCAAGGGGACTGCATTTAAGTTGTATTTTTAATATAAAATAAAATCGTAAAACTCCCTCCCCAGTGACGTCCCAGTTTCTGCAAGGCTCAAATCTCAAGAACTTTCACTGAAGAGTCTGCAGCAGCTTATTGGTCCATTTTGATTTGAACTCATTTACCTGTAATAAAAAAAAACAGTGGACCCTCCTCTGACCTTAAACTCAGGGGGTGTGATAGGTTAATGTTCACCATCTAAATTTGTGTTTGTTTTTCAGCAGCTGAGAGTGTTTGACAGGTAGGTGGTTCCTTCAGATGATGGTTCACCCTGCTTTACTTCTGCTTTAAGCTGCTCCACACAAGTAACAACTTAGGTGTCACAAAAGCTGCTCCTTTTGGTGCCTTTGAAACATTTTTTAAAATCATTTAAGCCCACTGAACAGGCTTGTCCAAGCCACAGTCCTGTTTGACTTTTTGCTGCGGCAGTGTTCTCCATACCATAAAGTCCACTAATGTCAGGTTAAGTGGTGATTTTAAACAATAGTTTGTGCCATGATGGACTGCAGATCTGCCTATGTACCCCTCCTCCTGCTTCCTGGGATCAGATCACCACCCTGAAACCAGAACAACTGCTTTTAAAATGGACCTGGACAAGTACAATAAAGTTTATGAGCCCATAACTGAAATAAAACATGAAAAAGGTTCTYCTTAATTATTTGAAATAATTTGCTCCAGTAGTTTCCAAACGTATTGATGTGCACTTCTGAAATGCGGGTCCACAATCAGTGTAAACCAGTGGTTCCCAAACTTTTTATCATCTGACGCACAAAATATTCATGGCAAAAACTTGTGACACCAAATATTAGTTGGCTCTCTCCATCCCACTCTTATCTTGTTAAACTGCTTCAGTTCTTAACTGTAAATAAACAAACACACGTGTTTAATTTGATCACATTTTGCTCACAAAAGTCACGTTTAAGGAAACATTACTGATATGAGAAAAAATGTGCACTTCATTTCTTAAGTTTGTTCATAATCTGTGTAATTAATAAGCTTTATGCGCTTCTTAATTTATTTATGTGTTTGTTTTAATTGTGTGTCTTAAACAGCTGTTGGTTTGAAGTATGCATGTTCTTTGTGTAATTCTTGCTGCCTAAAACAACCTCTTTAYTACAGAAAGAAGAAAAACTGTTTTGGGTCATAGCTTGATGGTAATTCACAATCTGTGACTCTGGTGTGTGAGTTGTGAGTAAAATTGGTGTTCATCCTGACATGTTTCTCTGCACATCATCCACCAACATCTGCCTTTAACTGCTTCCTGTTTCCTTCCCGCTCCGCAGTGGAAACCAGCTCATTGTGTTCAGACTTAGGTGTTGTTTTCTTCAGGAACTAAAACACCTAGACCTGAGTGTGCTGCCACTTACAGCTCAGGAAAAATAAATAAATAAATAAAAATGGTGTGATGTGATGATGATTACCACAGTCACGCGCGCGCTGTGGACGCGCACGGAAGGCCCAAAGTTCAGCTTCAGTCTGTCCCAGAACAGGCCTGTTTACTGGAGCTTTTCAGTAGCAACTGGTCGTTTCTGTTTGTTAATGGTTGAAAAGAAACGCGCCGAATCAAAGCTCATTTTGGATCTGTTAAGATTTCACTGGGAGCCAGAGTCTCTGCACTGCACGTGTTCAGTCAAAGAGGAAAGCTTTTATTAATGACAACTGGCTGCAGCGCGTGAGCGGATTCATCGAACAAACAAATAACTACAAACAGAAGGTAAAAAAAAATAAAAACTATTAACAAATTAAAAAAATAAAAATACAAAAATCACACGTGTGTCATAAAAACAATATTTT